ATCACTTTAACTATGAACAATCATGCTTAAGCTACATAATCTTTACTCCCTGGAATGGAGATAAGAAATGCCCTAACCTTTGGAATAGAGATTGATAGGATTGGAATCAATTGGTATAAATACAGATGTAACAAGACAACAGGACACAGAATCTAGACAGAACCTACACAGAACCTAGAGACAGAAGAACTTCGCTGGAGAGAACATGGCAAAAGATCCTGGACAGAAACTGGAGACAGAACCTAGACACAGAACCTAGCGAGAGAGCCTGGCTGAAGAACCTAGAGACAGAACCTGGCTACAGAACCTGGATAGAACATGGCAAGAGAACCTGACTAGAACCTGGTGACTGAACCTGGCTGGAGAACCTGGACAGAACCTGGTGACTGAACCTGGCTGGAGAACCTGGACAGAACCTGGCTGGAGAACCTAGCGAGGGAACATGGCTATAGAACCTGGCTGGAGAACCTAGCAAGAGAACATGGACACAGAACCTGGCTGGAGATCCTGACCAGAACTTGGCTAGAGATCCTGGCTAGGCTGCTGATCAACTGAAGGTTCTTCTGGGCCATGCAATAGCATTTGGATACTACCCTCAGGGCCCCAAAGGGTTCTAAGCATAGAAATGGCTTATTTTCTCTGCATTTTATAAAGGGAACTGAACAGTGAGCAGAATGCAGTGGTGGGGGCAGGAGTAAAAGCGGGGAGACCGAGTCCAGTGTTCAGGGAAGGGAAGATGAGGACCTGCTCTGGGGCCAAGAGTGGTCGTGGTGGTGGTGGTGGTGCTGGAGACAGGAGAAATTTCAGAGGCACTGAGGAGGTAGTTGTGGCAGGGCATGGCCAGCAAGTGGATGTGGGTGGGGAGGGACATGGAGGAGTAAATGATGGCTGTCAATAGTCTGCGTTGGCCACTGGATTGCTGGTGATTTTCTTCATGGAGACAGAAAACAGGAGGAGGGACAGACATACATTAGGCCTGGGGACGGAGATGAGTTGAGTTCGGTCGCAGGCATGTTGAGTCACTTGGTGATGGGGCACTGGAGCTGAGGGGGTGTCAGGCCCTAAGGTAGAGATTGGGAAATCTTCAGGATATATGTCCCAGGTAAAGAGTTAAGAGTGTTGGGTTTGAGGGGAGTGCATGAAACGGACCAAGAAGATCATGTTAAAGAGGGATGGAGAAGAACAGGAAGTTGGACCAAGGAGAGGATGCAAGTGTGGCCTGTGTTAAAGAGATGCCGTGAGAGGAAGGCTGAAAGGTACCGGGGTTGGCGTGGGAGCAGGGCAGGCCCCAGACACAGCAAATGCTGAAGGACAGGAGGAGAAGTCAGAACACAGTGGGTTGAGGAGTGAGTGGGAGGTGATGAGGGGAGAGAGTGAGGGGAACTTTTCCAGTAAGTTTGGAGAAGGGAAGGCCCGGAGAGGGATGGCGAAGGGAGAGACCAGAATCGTTTTCAGATGGGAAAGGTTTGATCGGGCTGTTATATTGAGGGGAAGGAGTCAGTAGAGAGAAAAGTTGAACGTAGAAAGCCTGTGTCACTAGGCTTGATGGGATCCTAGAGGGGCCTCAGGGCCACAGGGAACTCCAGGCCCTATGAGCAGAGTAGCCTGTGGCCTGAAAGGCTGCCATGCCAAGCCGCTCGGCCGCCACCCAGGCCTCAGCTCCTCCCTCACTGCACCACGGGCTGTGTTGGACCTTTGTGTTGGAAAGGTAGCCTCGGCTGGCAGAAGCGCTGACTGGGGACCTAGCCCAAACCTCCTCTTGTCTCCATGGCTTCCGTCTGTATTTGGCAGCAGGAAGCTTTCCTTGGTCCCCAGCTGTGGGGAAGGGCGGATCATGAGACATGCCTGGCACTAGGTAACCCACTTGAAGCCCCAGGCCTTGGTTTTGAGCCAAGCAGAGGGCTGGGCTAATTTAGCAAGGGCCTGTGATTAGGCTGCCACCTAGTGTTGAGTTGGGTGTACAGCAGGGAGGCCCCTATAGGGGATAGGCAAGAAAGATGGAGAACCAGAAAGACTGCAAAGAAGCCAGACTTCAGAGAGGGTCTCCTCGCTTCCCCATTCATGACTAATGACTAATTAGGTATATAGCAAATGGGTCCTATTGGTAATTTATCAATAATATTAGTCCGTGATTATATGCCTAAATCTTTGCTACTACTACTCAGATTGTCCTAAAAAGTTGTTTTAGCCCTGGTTTGGCTCAGTGGATAGAGCGTCAGCCTGCGGACTGAAGGGTCCTGGGTTCGATTCTGGCCAAGGGCACCTACCTCAGTTGCAGGCTCTATTTGAGGCAAACAATCGATGTGTCTCTCTCACATCGATGTTTCTCTCTCTCAGTCTCTCCCCCCCCCCCCTTCTACTCTTTCTAAAAATCAATGGAAAAAAATCCTCGGATGAGGATTAACAACAACAAAAAAGTTGTTTTAAATAAAAATCTAGCTACACAAGTAAGATGGGCCCACTATGGGGAAATTGGGGAAGTATAATGAGGACAATATAAATCAAATCATCTTTTCCATTAATTAAAAATAAACAACCTTATTTTTGATGGCTAGTGAGTTCCACCCACTTCTTTTCCTGCCACTGAAGGTTCCTGGTGCTATGGTTCCCTGTATACAGTGAGTGCACAATCAGTACTTGTGGAGTGGCTGATTGCTGCCTGGTGCCCACTGGGCTCCAAGTTTCCTGTAAACATCAGATAACAAGGTGCTGGAGGTGGAAGCTGGTCTGTGGCTTAGTGGTTAGGGAGCTGCCCGAATTCTCCAAGTCTCCTGCCGTGACAACAAGCTCAGCCCTGCAGGAAGTGGTTTTGGATGGTGCTTCTGGATCACCTGAGTGTGAGTCAGTCTTGGGAGGAGTTAGTCTCTTGACAATCAAATGTTGAATACCTACTATGTGCCAGGCAATGTGCTGGCTCCTGCGGATAAAACACTGGGAGAGCTCTAGCTGGTTTAGCTCAGTGGATAGAGCATTGGCCTGCAGACCAAAGGGACCTGGTTTCGATTCTGAGTCAAGGGCACATACCTCAGTTGCAGGCTCCTCATCGGCCCAGGCCCTGGTGGGGCTCGTGCAGGAGGCAACCAATTGATGTGTTTCTCTCACATCGATGTTTCTCTCTCTGTCTTTCCCTCTCTCTTCCACTCTCCCTAAAAATCAATGGAAAAATATCCTCAGGTGAGGATTAACAAAAACACACAAAACAAACAAGAAAACACACACTGGAAGAGCAGAGGGGGATGTGGAAGTGACTCTGGGATGAGTTACTCCAGAAAGGCTTCCCAGAAGAGGAAGCCTGAGAGTTGGGCCTGGGAGATCCAGTGGTCCAGGCATTGCAATAGGTTGGGGGGCTTTGGGGTCAGGTGGAAAGAGAAAAGGTATTCTAGACAAAAGGAATAAGTGCAGTGACCTGGACGTGTGAGGCTTAAAGTGTGTTCCAGGACCCCCAGAAGGTCCTTCCGTGGCTCACGTTTCTAAATCTGAGCTGCACTGTTGAAGAGGGTGGTTGCTGCCTCAGAGCCTGTGTGAGCAGCAGCTGCCCTGGACTGCGGAGGGCCCCGCTCCCCTCGCTGCTTCTTTGGTTTACCTAGCAAAGAACAGCCAAGCCTGCTTGTGCTGGCTGGCCCCATTCCATGCCCCTTCCCTGAGGCCCAAACAGATTGTCTAGACCAGTAGTCGGCAAACTGCGGCTTGGCAAACTGCGGCTCGCGAGCCACATGCGGCTCTTTGGCCCCTTCAGTGTGGCTCTTCCACAAAATACCGACTTCTGCACATGGGCCACGAAGTTTCAATCACACTGTATGTGCGCGCCCGCACGTGGTATTTTGTGGAAGAGCCACAGTGAAGGGCCCAAAGAGCCACATGTGGCTCGCAAGCTGCGGTTTGCTGACCACGGGTCTAGACAGATGTGGCTGCTGCTCCTCTCACTGCACCCTGTCCTTACTGCTGTCATGGCGCCTTCCGCACTGATTATCTCTCCTTTAGGGTGTTTTCTCCACTGAACTATGTGCTCCTCACAGGCAGGACGTGTGCTTGGCTTGACCCTGCATGCCCAGGCTCTGGCACTGGACCTCACAAGAAACACACACTCAGAAAATTCTTAATTAGTCAGTTTGTTCTGTGAACACATCCGGGTCACTCAGCTGGCGGTGTCTCAGTTGCCCCAGCTAACTTCATTAGGGATTAGGGTAGGACTGTAAGTCATCTGATGCAAGGGTGAGAAGGTCCAGGGTACACTGTCCTCATCAACCCCAATTAATGCTTGATTGAGAAGGTCATAATCAAGGCCCATTATTTGATTGTAATAAGGGCCCATTATTTGATTGATTAAAACAGGTTTTCAGCTGGCAGCTTAGCAAGTACATGACTGCACAGCCTCTCCCACTCCACCTCCAGGGCCAGTATGTGACAGATTTAGGTGGGAAATGCCAGGAATGCCTTGAGGATCCTGCTCTAGCTAGTGAGCTGGGTGCTCATGGGACAGGGAGGGCACTGGTGACCAATGTGACCTAATTCCTGGGGCCCTTTGTTCCTAGGATAGGTCTTGGCAGCCTGCCCAGTTGTTGAATCAGCTATTGAACAGCCCACCAGGGACTGGGGCAAGAAGAGATGCACGTCTCCTGGGTCCTGTCCTGTTGCATCATTGGCCCCATTTGGGAACCCTGGACCTTGACTTTTCATACTAAGTCAGCTAAAGAATTGGGGCATTTTAATAAAGTCCTCATTCCTAGAGGGAAGTTTTGTGATGATGCCCTTCCAAGGGTGGATGGGTGGACAAGCAGGCGGACAGAGAGTAAATCATCAGATGGATAGACAGGTGGGTGGTAGAATAAGAGGACAGATGATGCATGAGAAGTCAGCCCGTGCTTATGACAATCTAGGGACATCAAGTCCTCCAGTAGTTGTAGGTGCTAGTGGACGCTGCCATCGCAGTGCCTTGGTTTCTGAAGGCTTGCTGTGAATAACCGAAAAGCTAAATGTCAACTCTTCCACTTATTTTTCAGGAAATAGCAATAAATTGAATGCAACGGACACCTCTTCTGATACTTGCTACTTATCAAAACTTTCAAGCATGAAAATATCTTTGTCTCCCCCTCTCGAAATGGACATAACCTGCAAATAGAGCACCTCGAGAAAAGTACACCCATAAAAACAATAAAACAATACCGCGTGTACTGGTTAATAATGCAGATTTTGTAATCAAAGAAAACACGATAATTTAAGAGAAACATCAAAAGTGCTTTATTCAAAGTATTGTCTATCGCTAGCTACACATTTCCCCCATCTTTCAGGTAATTTGTGGATACTGTCCCCACAGAACTTTTTCGGAATAAGTGGTCATCTGAAGGAGCAATACAACAAAATAGCATAATATCAAATCACATATATATCAACATATGTGTAGCTCCATCTATTGACAAACATCCGCATTATTAACCAGTACACCTGGTAAAACAATACTGCAAACAGTTTGGCAAATGTCTCCTTCATAAGCCCATCATTCTAGAGCAAGCCTGTTGTTCATGTGGCCGTGCTCCTGCCTGGGAACCACACATAGCTGCAACCGTCATCTGCATTCCTACATTCTGTGACCTACTTTCCTCAAATACCATGATGTCATGCACATTTTGTGTATTGCTACATAGTCTTTATAATTACTTTAAATGACTCTAAAATATTCCATTCATTATGAGTATTTAGGTTGCTTATATTGTTTTGTTTTTCCTTTGATCATTGTCATGAATTAACAAGTCTTAGGTATTTCACCCAGAGCTTGGCAAAATGTATATACTTAGTAGGTGCTTTATTTTCTTTCTATCTCTTTCCTTCATATATATCTTTATATTTGGGTTTTTCCTTAGGGTACATTTCTTAACATAAATATTGAGGTCAAGAGTTGAAAAAATTGCATGGCTTTTCACACGTATTGCTGCCATGTTGTTTTATTAATAACAATGATGATAATATAAATAGTTCTACGATTACACATACTATCTCATAAAATCCTCCCACCTTCTCTGAGGGGTAGCCATTCCCCCATTTTTAATGAACAAGCAGAGGCCCACAAGTTTGAAGGAATGTGTCCAACATCCATGTCTGTTCTGTTTTCTTCTTTCTCCCCAGGGTCTGGTACAGTGCCCGGCACAGAGAATGACTTCAATAAATGTTTGTTGAATAAAGTCCACAAATGAGGGTGTCATGATTCAAATTCTGGTGCGTTTTCCCTTAAATCTTGCCAACTGACTTTGGACATTCACTGGGGTGGGGGTATGGGGTTAAAAATGTGGGTGTTGCTATACCTTTTAATTGAGGACTCAGACTTAGTTAAGCACCCATTCAGGCTCAGGGTGAACATGTGAGAGTTAATGTTGTGCTGTGGGTGGGAGTTTAGTGGCCTGAGTATAGTTACCCTAGACCTGTACCTGTTGCTTTTTCCCTGCCATCCCCCATGCAGAGCTGTTGCACCGCTCTGAGAACAGTGCTGTAAGAGAATGGTCCTACGTGCTTGGTGGCTACATTACATTTATAGGCTTTGCTCTTGTCTTCCGGTTGTGTGACTTGATAATGCTTTCACAGAAACACTGTCCTCATTGGAATCGCTCTCTAAAATCCAACTCCACAGGTTGAAGAGGCAGAGTGGCCCCTGGACTGAATTTCCTTCGGTTCCATCCTTCCTACTTTCAGACGATGCATCCCAAAGAGCACCAGCCCAAGAGTCCTAAGTGCTCACTTTCTGAGGTCATGTCCTGGCATAAGGCAGAAACCTGCCCCATTTCTGTTGCATTGGGTATGTGTGTTGAGTGCCAGAAGGGTTCTTCAGAGGCCCTTTAAAGAGTTAGGTCTGTCCACGGATGCTGCCTGGCTGGGCAGAGGCTGATGAGGTCAATGGCAGGGCTGGCCTCAGGGTTATGGAAGAGACCCCATGTGGTAGGGCTTCCTGTGTGCTGGGAATTGAAGACCTACTTTAAACCCTGGCATCTCTATGTAAAAGAGTGTGGAGAACTAGCAGGAGAGGTTTAGAAGTGGAAACTTAGGAAGTTATTACATTTAGGCGGTAACAGGGGGAGTAGTGATTAAAGGGACCAGAGACAGTCAGGTAATAAAGGGCCAGACCTCCCAAGCAATCCCACTGACATGTGCTGAGCACCTGCTATGTGGATGTACTGGTCAGCCTTAGGAATACAGTAGCGAAGACAGATATCTGTGTTCAAGAAGATGCCACAGACTACCTGGGAGGCAGAAGCACAAAATAACAACAACAAAACACAGCATGGTCACTATTCCGCTAGTGAGAAAATCTATGGGCGCCCAGAGAAAGGGGTGAGATGCCAAGGATCTGCAAACACTTCAAAGACACAATGTTTGGTCTTGCACTGAAGAATGGCGAGGGTTCAACTGGTGTGGAACAGCTGGCAGAGCATATTGGTCAGAGGGGAAAGCAAAGTCCCAGAGGCTCATGAGGACACAGAGGAAGGAAAGGTTTCCACTGGAGGGCAGGTCAAAAGTGGCAAAGGCATGTGTGAGGCTGAGCAGGATGGGAAGGTTGCCACCATTCAGTGCAACCTTGAGTGTGTGTGATGTGTGTGAATATGTGAATGTGTTTGAAGAGAGATCTCAAGCCCCCCCCACTGCAGTGGGTAAAGATTGATAGAATTGAATAAGTAGAGGCTCCTCTATTTATTCCTTCAAGAGAATATTCATTAAGCACCAACCACATGCTAGGCATCCGGAGAAGGGAGGCAAATGACAGAGACAAAGATCCCTCATGGAGCTTACACTAGTGGGGGAGGCAGAAATACACCAATAAGCAAGTCATTACAGAGAGTGGTAGGATTAGGAAGGAAATAAACTTGATGGTGTGATGCCGAACAACTGTATCTCAAGGGGCAGGCCCCACAGGTCTCCCCAAGAAGTGAACGTTCGAACAGAGGCCTTAAAGATGAGAAAGAGCAAGAGGAAAACTCCAAAACAAATGGGAAAACTTGGTGTACTTGGGGAGGAGATGGAAATGGGGATGGGATGGTGAAAGCCAAACCATGACCCAAAGGTGCTAAGTTCAAGTTGGGAAGGTTCTAGGCTTGGATGTGGGTTCACAGTCCTGAGTTCAGGTTTTGGAGAGTCTTCTGATTGGGGAGAAGGGAACTATGCTCATGTGAGAGGGGTTTGGAGAAACAATTTGGGTTGGAGGCCCTGAGGACTGGGTGAGCTGGGCAGGCCTCTCCCTTCTTGGTCTGGGCAGAGACGCAGGAGGGCAGGGTTTCAAAACAACAAAGTTTGAAAAGTCTGGCTTGTTCTTGATCCAGTGCTGAGTTTAGACGGGTGGGACCCTGGCCTCTGCACTGACCTTAATCCGTCCTCGGTAGCAAGTTTCAACAGGCTTCCTGATGGGAGCCTCAGCCAGGGAGGAGCGCCCTTAATCAGCAACCGAAACTCTGAGCGGGCGGTAATTAGGTCCCGGCAGCCGAGAGGTGATCCTATCTCCCCATCATTAACAGTGAGGAGAATGTGAGGGGCCTCCTGCTCTTCCCTGGCTCCTCTCCAACTTCCAGAGAAGGCTCAGGGGCTGGGACAGGGCTGCCTCTGGGGAGGATGACTTCTAGGTACAGAGCAGAGCCCTGCCCTGCGTGGGGGGCGCAGAGGAAATGGCCCAACTGAGACCCTGAGAGGAGACAGGTAGGGAGGACCCTCTGAGAGCCCTGGACTCTGGGAGTTGGTCTCAGGAGGAGAGGAAGGGTCTTTCTTGTTGATGGTGCCACTTGTCACAACTCCATCCAGCTGGTCTTAGCATTTTGAGCATTTTATTTTCTTGCCATTTTCCTCTTTCATAAACATCACACACACGCACACGCACACGCACACGCACACGCACACACGCACTCATATACACATGGCTTATCACAGGCTTTGGAGGTAGAAAGTGACTTCGAAGAAAAGAGGTATGGTAGAAAGCTCACAGTTGGAATGGGGGGATTAAGGTTTCAGTTCTTACGAGTTGACTCTCAGTTATGTGATTGTGGCCAAGTTACTTAAATGATGCTGAAATATCCAGGTCTATAAAATAGGCATTTTTAAAAAATTCATCTTTATTTTGAACACTTGTCATGAAGAACTGAGATCATAGTTGGCAGTTATATGTAAACTCCGAGTTTTAGCCCAGTGCAACGTGTGGAATTATCATTCAGCCATATTCTTAGAGTGGGCTTGTATAAGAACAGACGCGGTCAGGTGTAAGAGGTTGTAAACATTAAAAACCCTTTTGAGTTAACTTCTTCACATGCAAAATGACAGCTGGACCATAGGACTGAAGCGCCCTTCAGGTCAGTGTGATTCTGAGGAGCAAACACAGATGGAGGCCCTTCTCAGGGGGGTCAGGACACAGCTCCTGGTGGCCTCGAGGAACCTGGAAGCCCCTGAGCATGGCAGCCAGTGTCAGGGCGCAGCCTTTGGCTCAAATGCCAGCCCCACCTCTTAGTAGCTGTTTGACTGTAGGCAAATTTCTTAACATCGCTGGGTCTCGGTTTTCTTCATCTGTAGAATTGGGATACAGTGGGGCCTTGACTTACGAGTGTCCTAACGAGTTTTTTGAGATACCAGCTGTCTCTCGGCAAATTTTTTGCATTGAGTTGATAGAGTAATTTGAGTTAACGAGCTCCTTAACGAGCTCGGTCTCAGAACGAATTAAACTCGTAAGTCAAGGCCTCACTGTAATTTTTCTATCTCCCTTGCTCTGGGGGTGGGAATGGAGAATGAAATGCAAGAATTATATAAAGTGCTTTGCACGGTGGTTGCATATGGGATGTGGGGGTGATGGCTGACAGACACGGGGACTACTTGAGCTTGATTTTCAGGTTCTGATTTCTCAAAGCCTTCTCGCTCTAACCTGTCCCCAGAGGGGAAGGCTCGGCCTCTCCTGGCCGCTGGAGGCTACACCAGAGCAGACACAGGGGGGCCCAGCTGGCTCAGGACAGGGTAGGACCACGGAATTAGAGAGCGTGGGACATGGAGGGCCTTCAGACATCAGCTAGTTCCGCCCTCCATGTCACAGTGAGGGAGCTGAGACTCAGAGACGTAGGTGCCCAAACAAAGTTTCACAGCCAATTAGTGGGAAAACCTGGGTAAGGACCAGGTGGCCTAATAGTCCACCCACTCAGGTTTTATAACTTATCCTTGAGGGAATCCAACCTGTCTCGCTGTGGGAGAGCCCTGTCCTGCCTGGCGTAGGGAGCTTGTCATCCCCGAGGGACAGGCCAGTGGCGTGGCAGTGTCTTTCTCAAAGTCCACAGGCTCCCCCTGCTGGGCAGGAGATGAGGGCAGCCACCTTGAACCTGCTCAGGGGCACTTCCCAGGAGGACTGGGCCCTGGGCTGCTGGTGCCCTGACTAGCCATTGTGATACGGTTTTAGGTTTTCAGCATTCTAGGTCGCTGTACCATTTAAAAAGAGATTTAAATAATTTTTAAACATGTTT